CCGTCCACCCCTCCTCCCCCCTCTCCCCACATATATTCAGGCTCAGAGGTGCCCATTGTAACTAGCAAGAATTAACAATGTCTCCCTCTACCCCGCCCCCATCGCTAGCAACTGGAATGGCCCAAGCCGGGCAGCACAGGGCATGGGTCACGTGTAGGCAGCGAGGCTGAAATCCCGGTGGCAGCTCTGCCAGGGCTGGATTTATCCCAGGGCACCTGTCTCTGCTGGGACTAAACGAATGAGGAAACACTGGGAATGGAGGCACAGAGTCCAAGGCCAGAAGGGACCACCATGACCATCACATCTGGCATCCTGGTTTCCCCAGGCCAGAGACCTGCCCCCGATCATTCCTAGAACAGAGCGGTTGGAGATTCTGGCTGGAGACGCCATCGCTCTCGGTCAGCTGGCTACTCTCCCTGCGAAAACCACACCCTTTACTGCCAGGCTGAGCAGGGCCTCTCGTGCTCATTATTAACTATTTGTGGCCCACGTAGACGTCAAAGCACAGAAACGCTGGGGGGGTGACAAGCTAAATAGCTGGAGCTCCTGGCATCTGTCCTTGCCAGGCAGGTTTCTAATCCTTTCTGCATTCCCCGGACTCTGCTCTGACTCTGCCCCAATTTAGCAACCTCCTGGAGCAGCGGTCGTGCCAGTGCCAGCTACAGAGGAAAAATAACTTCTCAGCTCCTACTCGACATTCCCATTTATGTGTCCGGCCACGGCGTCGCTCTGGGAGCCCGTGTTCAGCCGGTTACCTACCACGCTCCCCAAAGCTTCTTCACAGTCCCTGCTTCCCAGGGTAGAACGCTCCCCAAAGCTTCTTCACAGTCCCTGCTTCCCGGGGTAGAAACAGGACCGGCCCACAACATTTTGGCACCTGAGGCGGGGAGCTCAAATGACGCCCCCATGCCCCCTCGCTTGGGCCAAAACGTTGAAAGGTCCCAATTCTGCCTTCTTCCTGCTCTGCTCCTCTCACGGCACTGCAGAGAGAACACATCTGCGCCAACAGCAGACACAATTTTCTTTACTCTGCATCCTAGCGGCACCCCCCATACAGTCTGGCACCTGAGGCGGCCACCTCAGTTCGCCTCATGGTAAGGCCAGCCCTGGATAGAGCCGCCTGTCAGTAAATTCTTGGTTCCTAGCTGTACGCCGACACCTGGAGCCCTATTGAAACGCCTGGTGTTGGCCTGCGCCCGACCGGCCAAGCGAGCCAGATTGCACTCTGTCAGCGACCCACCCTCTTCATGGGCCCCTCCCCCAGTTTTGGTGTCCTCTGCAAACTACCCCAGCGAGGAGTTTAGGTTTTCTTCCCGGGCTCGGAAGGGAAATGTTAAATAAGGTAGGGCCAAGAGCTGCTCCCGGCCGGACCCCGCTAGAAACACACTCACTGGATGACAATTCCGCCTTTACATCTGTAACCCCCTTTTTCCTCCCCGGGTTACTCAGGAGCAGGTCACACTCACAGGTGTGCCTGGGTGCCTGATGGTTTTAACCCAAAAGGCGATCCTGAGCACCCCAGTGGTGGTGGTGTTTAGTTGGGAAAAGCCCTATCCACCCCCTTGCTCGTCATGAACGTAAAATGGCGGTGCCTCCACCTGGCTGGCCTAGTACACACTCACTGGTGTGCCTTGAGAGCCTCCAGGAATATACTCATTCCAGCTATAATCTGGATCTAATTCCAGCACAACAACTACAAATCACATCCATCTAATAGACTACACTAGACTAAACAATCTTTACTTAACTTAAAGAAACAGGGTTTAACAGATTAACATTGAATCGCATTAACAAAGTACACACAAGAATTGGGATTTATATTTCTAACATCTGTACTGACAATATTGATCCCACCCCAGAGTGCGCACACCCCTGGACTCTCAGTCCCAGACTCTTGCTTGCATGGGCGCGCTTGAAGAACTGCAGCTGTAGTGGAGATTCAGTCCAAGCTAGACAGCAGCTCTGTCCCAGGCAGCACTTTCCCAACAATTCCCAAAACTTACTGCCTCATGCTGTGCCTCCTGGAAGCAGCCTGCTAGATCCCAGTTCCAACAGGCATCTAGTCCCAGTCTGTAGCTGCACTCCAAGGGTACGTCTGGACTACATGCCTCTGTCGCCAGAGGCATGTAGATGAGGCTACCAGGCATAGGAAAATGAAGGGGCGATTTAAATAATCGCTGCTTCATTTAAATTTACATGGCTGCCGCGCTGAGCCAATCAGCTGTTTGCAGCCTGCTAGATCCCAGTTCCAACAGGCATCTAGTCCCAGTCTGTAGCTGCACTCCAAGGGTACGTCTGGACTACATGCCTCTGTCGCCAGAGGCATGTAGATGAGGCTACCAGGCATAGGAAAATGAAGGGGCGATTTAAATAATCGCTGCTTCATTTAAATTTACATGGCTGCCGCGCTGAGCCAATCAGCTGTTTGTCGGCTCAGCGGGGTAGTCTGGACGCGCAGGTGTCGACATCAAAGGCATTTGTCGACCACCCAGGTATACCTCATCCCAGGAGGCATACCTGGGTGGTCAACAAATGCCTTTGATGTCGACACCCGCGCATCCAGACCCGACAAACAGCTGATCAGCTGTTGGTCCACTTCGCCGCTAGTCTGTTCGTTCCCCCTGTTGACATCAAAGCCCTTTGTCGGCAGCCCCATTATTCCTCGTGGATCAGCTGTTTGTCGGCTCAGCGCGGCAGCCATGTAAATTTAAATGAAGCAGCGATTATTTAAATCGCCGCTTCATTTTCCTATGCCTGGTAGCCTAATCTACATGCCTCCGGTGCCAGAGGCATGTAGTCTAGACGTACCCCAACAGCCCCTGGACTGAATCAAACTCCTCCACAGCAGCCTGGCTCCCCTTCTATTCCAAACTCCAAGGGCAGCGTCCCAGACTGCTAGGCCTCTGTTCTCATGCACATGGAGAGGGAGAGCACTTCCACACCAGAGTCCTTCCTTCCTGTTCTTCCCACGGGCTCATAGGAATTGTAGTCTGGATTGTAGCACACAGGGTCTTTCCAGAAAAACAGAGGCCCCTCTAGTAAGGGGACTACACAAGGTTCACTGGAAACCTATCAGTTTCATAATCAAGCGACGCACAGTACGGTACCGCACCAAACCGTTCCCAGCAGAGTTAGCATCAGCACATCGCCCTTATCAGCCAAACGGGTAATCTCACCACACACGGATCTCCCCTTCCGTGGACTGGCCCTGCTTTCCCCAGCCCACCCCCAGCGTTGTTCGAGGGGACTACACAAGGTTCACTGGAAACCTATCAGTTTCATAATCAAGCGACGCACAGTACGGTACCGCACCAAACCGTTCCCAGCAGAGTTAGCATCAGCACATCGCCCTTATCAGCCAAACGGGTAATCTCACCACACACGGATCTCCCCTTCCGTGGACTGGCCCTGCTTTCCCCAGCCCACCCCCAGCGTTGTTCGGATCCACCTCAAAAGCCAGAGGCAGAACACACACATCCAAGGCTACGGGTGCCACCCATCCGCTGGCCAGTCCCCTGTAGTTCTTCTAATCTAGCAGGAACACCACTGAGGGCTCTCTGAGCTCCAGGCCCAGTCTTGGGAAGCACTGATCTCGTTATTTACCCCCCTCTCCTCCAGGGCCTGCCCACCCCTCCCCAGAGCTCAGGGGGAGAGAACTGAGCACTTCAGTCCATCGGCCACCAGCAAAGGGGTGCTCCAGGCAAGAGGCTGCAGAGAGGAGTTTTCAGAGGGCAGCCTTGGAATGCTTCCGTATTCCAGCCCCAGCAAGTCTCCAGAAAAGGTGGGAGCGCAGAAGGGGACAGGAAAAGAAGGGAAGGATCCGGCATTTCTAACCTGCCTTCAACCGCAGAGATCCCAAAGCCTTCCCACGCTGGGTCGGAAGATTTCCGCACAAACCCGGACTCTTCTGATCATGCCCGGCGCAGGGGAGAGGGTCGGTCATAAGGGGAGCTATTTGGAACAGGGGGGGCATTTCCATGGGGGAGGGGGTGCTGGGCAGAGGAGTTGAGTGGGGTAGAGGGGGCTTAAGGCGAGCGGCATGGCCCAGAGTTGGGAAAGGATTCCCTCAGCCAAGAGCTCAAGCCACACTAGCTCTGGGTGCATCTGTGTCCAAGCAACGGGACCCCCCCGCCCCAGGAGGCCATGGGGAGCAGCCATTCTGCAGGATCGTGAGAGGGGCTTCGTGTGGAGATCCTGGGGCCTGTAAATGCAGACGGTACGTATAGGGGGCCCAAGGGAACTGGCTCCACAAAGAGGCCCACACACCCCTGGATGAACAGCTCCACCGAGCACCCCAGCACGGCTGCAGCTGCCAGCAGGGCCTGGGCAGAAGTCCATCTCCATGCCCAGCTGGGGGGCTACAGTGCCTGGCCTTTATCCCACTCTGGGGCCACAGCTAGGAAGCCAAGGGGTGTTGCTAGGGGATGCTGGGCAGGGATCTGGGGGCTGGGAGTCACTCCTTTGGATGCCCCAGACGGGGCTCAGAGGGGCGGGGTGTCCTGCCCCACAGCAGGAGGCGGGTGAGGAACAAAGCAAGAGGCTGCCCCCCCAAAACTGGCCCCTAGTTAAAGCTCCGGTCCAGGGCCCTTCGCCTCAGGGCCACCCCATAGTTCTGCATGACCCCAGAGACGCCAGCCCAACCTAGACTTTGCCCTCTTCCCAGGCCCCTACAGGCCTCCAAGGGGCTTAGTCACCCTGGGGACACGGCGGCTTGGGGCGGACCATTCAAAACCAGCTCTCTAAAGGCCCCCTCCCAGCACAGGGTGGGGCAGGACCCACGGAGGCCCAGCTACAGGCTCAGACCTGCTCCCAGCCAGGCACTGCCCCTTCAGGCTGTCAGGCTTGCGAGAGACTCAAGGCCCCAGCAGCCAAGTGCCCTCACACCAAGCCCCTCCCCAAGGGTGCCGCATGAGAACGCGCTCAGCTCACGCCGCGCATGAGGCCTGCTCTTGCAAGAAGGGCCGGAGCCCCAGGGCCGCTCGCAATGCCCCCCCCCTTACCTGCGCCCTCAGCCCTGAGGAGCAGCAGCAGCAGGGGGGGGCCGGGGCAC